GACGTCGATATGAATATAGATTGCGAAGGGAAAGAAGAAGGTCGCGATCTAGGTCTCGATCAAGAAGTAGATCAAGAAGTAGAGATAGAAGACGAGATAGAAGTAGAGATAGAAGACGAGATAGAAGTAGAGATAGAAGACGGGACAGAAGTAGAGATAGAAGAAGAGGTAGAAGCAGGTCCCCACATAGAAGATAAAGATATTATTAAATTTTAATTTTTATTATATTTTTAATCGTATATTTTATTAGTTTAATATTAAATATTATAAAATAAATATTTACATATAAAAAATCATATTGTCTTTATTCTTATAAATTGTTTAAATGCCGAAACTCTAATTAAATCATATAGAAAGTATTGCCAAAATGCCGAAACAGTTTCGGCAAGTTATGGCAGTTTCGCGATTTTGATAGGTTTTACAGTTTCGGCATTTCTTGATGATTTCGCGAAACTAGTTTCGGCAGTTTCGCGTACGCCATTCTGCCAAAACCTCTAGTTTCGGCAAGCAACCTTAGCTTTGAATCCCTGCAGTGAAATTTTGGTTGATAGCGTAACTTGCCCAACTACGTTTACAAGGATATAAAACTCTTGTAAGATATTGTTCACAAGGTGGAAATTCGTCAGTAAGGCTGCTCCAAGCCAATTCTTTGTTTAACATAACATAGGGGCCCCAATCTAGGGGGGGGGAGGACAAAAAATAATACATAAAATACAATACATGACCAGAATTACCATTAATATTGGCTAAAATTTTGACCAAAAGAGTGAGCAAAAATTTTGGATGATAATTTCGGCCAAGACCTAAAGATTTGTATAATTCCAGCCTAAATTACATGTATTTTTTTTACATAAAAAATCCAAAAACAGGGGGGTTATGTTAAATGAAAAATTGAATTGGTGCGGCCTAAGTGCTTTCCATTCTATTTTAAACTTTTTATAGCATAAAAAATTACGCATTACTAAAAATTTAGCACGAAAAAGTTCAAATTGATCATGTAATTTTCCTTTAAATTTTTTTTTAAATTCAAATCTATATGAAAAATACAATAAAAATGCCGTGTTTTTGAATAATTTTTTTTTACGGCCGTTATTAAAGCCGGATCAGCATCAGAATATAGGCTGTTGGTGTTACGTCACATGAATTTTTTAATTCTTGTAAAACTCATGAAAAAGTAGCTTCAGTTTCATCTTCCAAAACAGCTGCTGCTACTATTAAACTTATAAAGTTATTATCAACTATTATAATCAGCATCAATAACATATCAAATTGATTAGTTTTTGATGTTGTATCAATAATTACAATATCATGATTATACATGGCCTGGTAAATCATCAGCCAAAAACGTAATTCGTAATTTGAAATACATAAATAATTACGTAATTCGTAATTAATTATGTATAACGTAAATAATTACATTTAACATAATTACTGTAAATACTATTGGTAATTAATCACATGATATGTAAAAAAAAATATGCTGAAACTGATAGTTCAGCAGTTTTACATGTAAAAATGAAAAGAAAATAGCCAAAACTGATAGTTCTGGCAGTTTTACATGTAAAAATGAAAAGAAATCTCTGAAACTAATAGTTTTGGCATTTTACATGTAATAATAAAAAGAAAATTGCTGAAACTGATAGTTCTGGCATTTTTACTTGTAAAAATGCAAGAAAATTGCTGAAACTGATAGTTTTGGCATTTTTTCTTGTAGAAATGAAAAAAAATGCCGAAACTGATAGTTTCGGTATTTTTACTTGTAGAAATGAAAAAAAAATGCCAAAACTAATAGTTCCAGCGTTTTCACTTGTAGAAATGAAAAAAAATGCCAAAACTGATAGTTCTGGCATTTTCACTAGTAAAAATGCAAAAAAAATACTAAAACTGATAATTCTGACGTTTTTACTAGTAAAAATGCAAAAAAATGCCGAAACTGATAGTTCTAACATTTTTACTAGTAAAAATGCAAAAAAATGCTAAAACTGATAGTTCCAGCATTTTTGCTTGTAGAAATGCAAAAAAAATGCCAAACAGATAGTTCCAGCATTTTTGCTTGTAAAGATGCAAAAAAAATGCCAAAACTGATAGTTCTGGCGTTTTTACTTGTAGAAATGCAAAAAAAATGCTGAAACAGATGGTTTTGACATTTATATATATAAAAGTGCAAAAACAATAAAATGCTGATATGACTTTATATAAAAAAAGCACATGACCCATGATCAGCCAATAATATTTACGCTAATTATATATGATATAAATAATTATGTATTTACGTATTTTTCAAAAAATCTGGTAATTAATTATCAGGATTACGAATTACGTATTTATACGAAAATAAAAAATTACCAGGCCATGTATAATCATGATATCTTCCATAAGCATTTACTTGGTCAGAAGACATTCAGAATAATGAATTTAATCTTCTTTCGTCAAGATCAAAATGCAGCTTTATAATCCATCTTGGATTAATTTCTTTCTTCAAATATAGATCAGTAAGCATTTGATATGCATCATTTTTATTAGGTTTCGCTTGTTTTTTAAATTGCTGAATAGCGTTACTTAAATCCTTTTTGTTAATTACTTTATCTGAAAACAAGACTACCAGGAGATTGTATTGAGTTGATATGCCCATTTTCCTTTGAATTGTCCAAAATTTAACTTTTTCAATCATCTTATCAGTTAATTTTTGATATTTTGGTGCTATTTTACCAACAAGTGGGTTCATATCATGATTGTGTTTACCAATTATACTGTTAATCCAAACACCATTTGAAGATTTAGAAAATGCAAGATTAATATGCTAAGAATATCCAATCATTTCAGAATCTCTATTCCTCCTATTTTCCACTAAGATAGTCTTTTGAGTTTCATGTGTTTGGACATGTGAGCATTCATATGTTCTGTGTCTAGTAATTGTATTATCATTTGGATCTGATATACGCCTTTTTTTACAAAAGCAGAATCCTTGTTATTTTGCATATTCGTCAAGGTATAACTCAGTAAGTTCCCATGAACTAAATTCTTTTCCTTGATTTAATTCTAATCCATTTTCTTCTTTACTTTCATATTCACTTTCATATTCACTATCATTATATTCTTCTTCATGATGATAATTTTCAAAATGATTTCTTACGGTGAAATCTCCCTATTTTCTCTGTTATCAATTTACAGAGTTGCCACATTGAATAGGCATTCTCATGGTCGAATAAATGAATAAATGAACAAACGAACAATTAAACGAATAAACAAGCAAATAATCAACGACATAATTATCAAACAACATACAACAACAAATAACAATAACATACAGCAATAACATTCTTGGTTTACAACATAAATAGCGTTAGTAATATAAAACGTCAAACGATATAAAATAAAATTTAACTTCTCTAAATTTTTCCCAATTTTTATCCACTTTACCTTTAATTTCAAACTTCGATAGCTCTCGCTACGAAGTATTCTATTTATTTCAACTTTAAAATTTTGATAATTCTCTTCACGAAAGTGTATATTTTATTCATCTTATGATTATCATTTTATTCAATTATAATTAATTAAGCGAACGTTAATTAAAGTTTAGGGCGAACCTATTACCTTTAATTAATATTATACTTTATTAACAAATAATTAATTTTGACATATCCACCGATCCCCAGAATTAGGGTAAAATAATTTACATCAAATTTTTTTTAATAAAAAAAGAAATTGAGTTCCACAACTCAAATTACATTATTTTGCATTATCACATGACGTTATCTATCGATATTTGTAAAAAAAATTTCAAATCAAAAATTGAAAATATGTTATTTCTCTTCGTTAAACCTTTGTTTAGTTTCCATCAACCACCCATCAACTTTCAAGCTTGGTAAACTAAAAACTTTTTGCAAGCATATGTAGGAAATATTTATAAGTAAATATAACTAGTAGTCAGTTTTTGTTATTTGAAAGATTTTATTTAGTCTTTTCTTATAACATTGTATGTGAAAAATTAAAAAAACAAGCGCAATAAAGATTTAACGAGTGTAAATCAAGGTAACTAATTATTTTAATGAAAGAAAACATTTTTCTCAATTAAAAATGTACATTGCGTCTATTATATTAATAAATCCGCTTCTCATTTTTTTTTTGTAGATTGGATTAGGCGAAGGCGGCAAATTTCATAATGAGATTTTTTATGAATTAACTTTATATTTCTTTTAGGTGACTCTTGTACATTTTGTTTTCTTTATTTGTGATTTATGGACAATTTTTTTTTGATTTTTTGACTAGAGTTTATGCAACTCTTTTATAATCTTTTATTTTTTTTGCGATTTATGGTCAATTCTTTGATTAGTCTTACTGATGGCTATATGAAATTTCTTGAAATCAAATCTTAATACCAGGATGTAATTGTGAATAAAAAGAAAGTATTGAAAAAAAATTGCTTAGGATTTCGCAAAGTTTTATCAAAAAAAAAGGATAAATTAGACCAAATTTTAGACCTAAATCATAATAATTTTGATCAAAATGGGTAGGTGCTTTAGTATATTACAATTGTAAGACTGGTGGATATACACCTTGAATAACAATATATTTAAAATTTTCGGTTGCCAATGTATATTATTTTTTCCACTCATAAGATCTTTGCTGCTTGAATGTTGATATTTGAAAATAACAGTTTTTACGCGATAAAAAAATCAGTATATAAAAGATCTAACTTATTTTAGCATAAACATATTAAACTTTAATTGCAACGATTCAGATAATAATTTATTTTAAAAATACAATCCTGTTTATTGGCTCATAAATTTTGGGTCGCGCACATACGATTATTTGAAAGAAATTATAGATATAATTTTAATACAAAATAGAAACTATATACAAAATGTTATTGTCAGTTGACAGATAAAGTTTATACTCTAAGGTTTATTGTATTAGAACAAGTCTGTTAAGAAATATCATTTATAGTATAATAAAGTCTTTGATTCTCAAATTCAAGAATTTGAATTATTGCAGATTTTCGATCCATACCATTACTCCCATCTCTCAAAGTCTTGCGAAAAAATTGTGACACCTGTTAGTGATTTTTCTTTTCTACTGGCGCACATAAGAAAGCTTTTAAACCCCATTCTTTTGTTTTTTCCATGAATTCATGAACATGATAGACAAGAACATGAAAATATGGTGTAAGATCATTTGGTCGGTATAAACCCTGAACAAAGTTTTCATCATTGGGAGTTCCAATAGATGGTGTAAGAAATAACCTTAACCAATATTCTGCATTTTTCTTAAATGTTTCAGAATCAGTAGCTGGGTTACGCATAGCTACATACAACTCATGGAACTCATCCCATAATCTTCTAATTATCTTTACTCGTGATAGTGGTAACACTTTACCAAGATCAAAAAATTGCAGCACTTTTAATTTGTGTCCACCTACTAGTGATGTAAAATTCCGGGTTTTTGATTCTCTTTCTTGCCAAAATTGAAACTTCACTTTGATCCTGTTCATTTCTTTAACAATAATTTCTCTTGCAATATCATTAAAATATCCATTTTCTGTAATTTTGTGCAAAACTAGACTCCAGAGCTGATCAGTTATTCGCAACAATACATGAAGCTCATCAGGGATCTAATGATCTAACGAGATCATATCAAATAATGGCATTGAATGATGACCATCATATGTATTGCAGTTTGCTTTTAATTCGCTCATTTCCTTTGATATAGACCATTGTTTACCAAGATCTGCAACTTGTTTCTTTGATATGCCACACCAAGGGCAAAAAAACTGGCTATTTGCGGAATTAAAACCCAAACAGCAGATGGAAAGAAATTTCCAATCAGAACTAAAATATAGATTAATAATCCAATTAACCCCTATAATGTTTATTCCAATCTCTGATAATTTACGTAACTCAGTTCGAAGTAAAGACAGTTCAACACTCAACGAATCATAATTTTCACATCCAGGATATAGTACAAGTGTATGGTGATGATCGGGTCTGTGTAGGTTGGTTATATCATCCATAATTGCAAAGGTAACCATGACGTGTTTTACCTTCCTACCTACATTTCTACTGTCTCCAGAAATTTTCAGATAAATAATTGGTCGTTGAAGATCAAGAATTTTTCTTTCTACTAAGCTTGGTACTATAAATCTTAATATATCTTTTATACTTCTTTGACCACCCTTACCAATTGAAGTAATTACCTCTTTAACTACTTCTGGATCAAATATATCAGGATTTTCATTTAAATCTAAATTGTTACATGATGGCATATTAATTGTGGTAATTTTGATCCTATTTCTCATTTCTTTATTGATTTGCATTCGCTGATCAGAAATTGCCCATTCCCGTGGTAATTCACTTTCAATCGCAGCTAGATCTCTATACATATTTCGTGAAATTTGTCCTTTATCAATTGCCATTACAATTGCTTCATTTTTTTGTTTTTTCGCTGTTGTGTTTTCATCCCAATTTTTACTTTAAATCTGTGATCTTTTACAGAAAATTGAATTTTTTCTAGAATGGACTGATCTTCAGGGTTATAGTATAATTTTGACATATTTGTAAAGTCATTTAACGTCTGCTTGGTAACAGTTTTGGCTTTTTTAATAAGAGTGGAACGTGAAATATTATCTACTGACTTTAAGGAACGCTTTTTTACTTTCTTACGATTTTGTTGTACAAACTTCAAGTGAAGGCCAAATAAAAATACCCCTGAGATTTGTGTATTACTTTCTGGATTAATGTTCTTTAACATTAAGTAGTAAAGTTTATTAATTTTCTCAAGCTTAAGAACATTTACAACAACTAATCAAATTATACTTACATTACAAAGTAATGTAGCTGCATCAGAAGGAAATTTGTTTGAAGTAACTTATTGGAAAAATTAATACCAAATTCTACTTGATACATTGGCTTATCGTTAATATAGATTATCGTACATTGAACTGGACACATGTTCTGATTCCAACTTGTTTGAACTATATACCCATGCGGAATTGGATATTGGTTAGGCTTTTTAGTTTGACATAATATATACTCCCTTGGGTATATCCCTTCTTTCACTATTTTATAGTAAAAAGTACGCTTATTGTTCTTCCATTTGATGTTTAAATTTTCAGGATAGTCTGAAATTTCTTTTCCTTCCATTGTACATTTATTTGTGTAATTTCGGGATAACTATTATTTTTTCACTGCATTAATTATCACGTATTAAATGACGCGTATACTGTATGATATTTATTTATACTGTGCAAGTTCGTGACAAATAGAGTCACGTTCTAAAACGTCATACTATATAAATAAGTCAATGATCCTATGCACAATAAACGCTGATTATTTCTATTTTTAGAAAAATACCTGATGGTTGGATCTATTTATATATTTTTTATATTTTTGATGAACTTTCTGATAAACCGGTGATTTTCGTTAAGAAAATAATTTCTTTTTTTTTTTAAATATTTTTAAAAAAAATATAATATTAAAAAAAATGAATTTTTTACATTTATTATTAAAATATTAAAAAACAAATATCCTTTTTCTTTCTTCGGAAATAATTCATGAACTAAGTCTAATTTTTTTTCATTTTCATTTTATTTATTAAACTAAACTAATTTTATTTTATTTTATTTTATTTTTTAGGTTTTTGTTGCTTAGACTTACTGTTCTAGATATTCAGGAGCGGGAAGTTTTTTTAACATTTTATAAGAACAGCATGGACCAAATACGTAGATAAAAGAGTACTTTACAGAAACCTTGAAAATTTGAGCGATGTTGAATTGATATGGATACGATATAAATTTCATGTCATAATGGTATCAATTTCCGTGATGATATTGTTATAATGTTGATTCGATATCGTTACTTCATCACCATAATTTATCGCGAAAATATCGTGGCGATATCTATTTAAAAGAATATCAAATCGGCACAGTCTTGATA